CACCCCCTCAGGGAGCTACAGGTCCTGCACCCTTAAGAAACTAGATTTCCCAGGATTTCTTGAAGGAAGCCATGCACTTTAACTGTGCATTATGTATGGTGCATGTATGGTGTATGAAGTCTGGGACTTCATAGGTTTTCCAGATACACAGGTGGCTACATTGCATCATTGTACACAAGTGACCAATCTATGCACAAACTCAGGACTCAGCTGCACAGCTGCAAATAAAACATTTTAAATGTGTTGTAAAGTGCAATATACAAATGTGACACTAGATGGTGACAGTGAGCTATGTCAAATTCCATGTATTTTTTCACAACATTTTTTAAAAAAGCATTTTCACACCATTTTTTAATATGTGGGTAGATTCCACCTAAGCTGCACTTTAGGGCGTCAGATTATTTGTGAATTTCCAGTATTACATGTTGTTGTTGTTTAGTTGTGTCCGACTCTTCGTGACCGCATGGACCAGAGCACGCCAGGCACTCCTGTCTTCCACTGCCTCCCGCAGTTTGGTCAAACTCATGCTGGTAGCTTCGAGAACACTATCCAACCATCTCGTCCTCTGTCGTCCCCTTCTCCTTGTGCCCTCCATCTTTCCCAACATCAGGGTCTTTTCCAGGGACTCTTCTCTTCTCATGAGGTAGCATACTTTTTTAAACTTTTTTTTTAAAGGATAGAGGGGAAATTGGCTCTAAAACAAATGATTACATAATTGTTGGTCAGCATGAGACTCAATGTCAGGGTTGTGGGTTTGAGATGACCTCGTGGTCCCTTCTAACTCTACAGTTCTATGATATGGTTGTGTGTGACTTTTTAAAAATAAATCTGTGCAGAAATAAATATGATATGGTCTAAGTAATAAATCATAAGGTATTTTCATTTAAGGCTATTTCATATGTGGAGAGGCTTCACCTCACACTTTTACATGCATTTATTTCCCCATTACCTTCCTAACAAAAAATCCAGTTTAATTTTTACTATGTTGGATTTTTTGTGATAGAGCAACAAGAACACTTTAATCCAGTGGTTCCCAATTAGCTAAGGATTGCAGATCCCTTGTTGTTTTCTTAAAAAGCCAATCCATGGACTCCCCACTTTTTAAGATTTTGATATATCTATGGCAGTTTTTTGATATGTGAATGGTGCCATGGACCACCTGGGTGGATTACACAACCCCCCCCGGGATCTGCGTACCACCGATTGGGAACCACTGCTTTAGTTCATTTTGATGAAGTTGGGGTCCATCACACCTGGAAGGCGAGAGGTTCAGAATGCTTGTTAGATGCGTATGGACTCCTGTCTTCCAAGTTTATTCCACTAACTGGTGCAGAAGTTTTATACGAAAAGACCAAATGCAAGATCCAGGTGTGGTAAACGCACCATGCTAGGTTAAATAAACTGCTCTTTCCCAGTGATTGCTGGGGTGGTGGTGGACAGGGGGAGCTGGAGAGAATAAATAAATAAATTGAGCGAAGTTAGGAGCAGCCAACACTCTGGGATAAACAACTTAGGAATCCAGGAATGTCTGAAAAAGCAGCGCTTGTCACTTCCTGAATTTTGAGCAAACAGGTTTGTGCAGCTGCATATAATTACACGAAGCTAAAGGACTGTTTATTTAAACCGTGATGTATTATAAATTCCCTGGGATACAAAATGTTAGTCCGAGAGGCATTCCAATATCTATTAAACTGCCCTCCTCTACAGTGGCAGGCACTGTGGCTGGAAACCTGAATTGCAGAATGAATATATATATATATATATATATAAAATTCCAAATCGGAATAAAGGATTGCAATGTGTGGGGTGGTGGTGATCTAGAGAAAAGAAAGGGTGGTGATGGTAGGCCTACGCAGTCTGCCTCTACCTCATATTTTAAATCCCAGGTTGCTACTTCACTTCCCGCAAAGCTTTGCCATGAAGAGCATTGTGCTGGGGGAAGTGCCTAAGTGGGAGAGGAGAGCGGTACACAACTCTCCTCCCTGCCTGCTTCCCTCCTCCCCCCTCTACAGCCTCTTCCCCTGCCACACAGAGCAGTGCCATTTGCTTCTGGTATGAACGTGAAACTTACTCCTGTGGAATAAATATGTTTTGCCAACTTGATGACACTCTTGCGGGTGGCGCTGTGGTCTAAACCATTGAGCCTAGGGCTTGCCGATCAGAAGGTCAGCGGTTCGAATCCCCGTGACGGGGTGAGCTCCTGTTGCTCGGTCCCTGCTCCTGCCAACCTAGCAGTTTGAAAGCACGTCAAAGTGCAAGTAGATAAATAGGTACCGCTCTGGCGGGAAGGTATACGGCATTTCCATGCGCTGCTCTGGTTCGCCAGAAGCGGCTTAGTTATGCTGGCCACATGACCCGGAAGCTGTCTGTGGACAAACACCGGCTCCCTCGGCCTATAGAGTGAGATGAGCGCACAACTCTAGAGTCATCCATGACTGAACTTAACCGTCAGGGGTCCCTTTACCTTTACCCCCAGCTGTTTGGGGAAGGGGATCCCCTGATTGGGGATCGGGGCCACCCTATGCCCCGGGGCAGATAAAAGCCGCCAGTCCCAAGTTGCGGGAGCAACATCGTTGGTTGCTAGTTCCTGCCTGAACCCTGTCCTGCTTTCTTGCCTGAGCTCCTGACCTGCCCGGGCTCCCTGCTTGCAAGCCTGTTCCTGACTTCACCTGACTCGCTGCCCTGCACCCAGCTTCAGCTACTACAGACTGCCTCCATGTTGCACCTTTGACCACGGACCGGACTTGGACCTCGCCTCTCAGGTAACCCACGGGACCAGCACAGGTGGGCTCTTATCATATTTTTAGGAGGACCACTTCTCTTTTCTACCCTCTTGCGCAGCCTGTGTGATGTTGTGCTTAGAGTCCCTACTGGGTGACCTCGGACTAGTCTTTGAATCTCCGCCTAACCTACTTCATAGGGCTGTGCTAGGGATTATAGGAGCAGGATTTGAATTCACGTTCTCTCTGTTTTCAGCCCAGCACATGAACCGCCATGTCACACCCATGTACAAAGCACAGCTAGTGTCTAGCAGCATGGGCATTCAGCTGAGCTGGAGCTGACAAGGAAGGTCACTGCCCATCGCTGCCCCCCTCCATCACTTCCACCCTGTCAACCCCTTGCCTCTACTAGCTCTGGGTAATTTAGGACCCTGGGAGTTCATGGTTCGAAATCCTTCAGGGAGCGTCCACAAGTAGAGGAGTCTCTCTACCTCAAAAGTTCATCCTCCAACTTGTGGACAGTGATGGAAGCAGCAAGACTGAGCAATCTTATTCCGTTGGGCCACGATGCTTACTGTCTCTATCGCTCGACCTTACCTGCCTCACAGGGTTGTTGTGAGGGTAACATGGAAGAGAGAAGGCCATGCTTTGTCTCCATTTAACACTTTCTCAGAGTAGATAGTTGATGGTTCAGGATAATAAGTTAACAGAGATGGAAAGAAGTAACAGTCCCTACCAGGGAGGAATGGCAAACTAAGCTGATGGACTACGCCAAAATGGCAAAACTGACTGGAAAGCTCAGGAACCAAGAAGACAAAAACTTCAAGAAAGAATGGGGGAAATTTACAATTTATTTAGGAGACCATTGTAAGCAGATAAAAACATTACCAGGATTTTAATAACACTTGGAATGTAACAAATACTGTAGAGAAATATGGAGAGTTATATTACATGGATTATGAAATAACATGCAGTTGAAGATGTTGACAATTGGACCCACAGAGGGGATGATGGGAAGAGATTCAGAGAAATCTCTTATGTATTTGGTATTGCTATAATCTTTTGTTCTGTAAAATCCAATAAAAATTATTTTTGGAAAACAGGATAATAAGTTAAAAAACAACAAAAACTATTCTAATATAAGGTCAATTGTAAGGAATGGAATGTGAATTAGAAATAACTAAGAAAATAATGCAACAAGAGGTAATTTTGGACACATCAAGCATGGAGTGTGGGAAATCAATTTTTGGAAAGATTGTATTAAATTTGTGACTGGTTTGGTAAAATTTGGCCAAAAAACCCACGATTTGGCAAAAAGACCGTAACAAATTTGCTCGGAGTAGACCTGTGGCAATTAATGGACCTAAGTTAGTCATGGCCATCCATTTTAATGGGTCTACCCTGAGTAAACGTTAGTTGAAGACAACCCTATGTACCCCATCTTGAGTTCCTTGAAGGAAAAGTTGGGGTATAGGTATAATAATAAATAAAGTGGGCTTGAGTCAGAATCACATGCTCACAAGCAGATCTGTGCACCTCTCCACTTCAGCACGTATCACCCAGGAGCTAATGAGGCATCATTAAGTAATCTTTCCAAAATGGGTTGAGATCTCCAGATGAAAGGCGATGGAAGTGCAAAGCACACATTGCCGGCTACTCAACCCCATGGCAGTGAAAGCCACAGCCATTTATTTCAGGTTAGATGTGTTTTAAGCAGAATTAAGTGGTTAATCATTAGAAAAGAGTCGGGGCTGCTTGTGCCCCCTCCCCTCACTCTCTGATGCCAGAGAACAAGATTTGCCACTAAATATAGTCCAAGAAGTCCTCAAAAAAAAACCCACGCCAGTGAATGAAGCATAATTGGCGCATACAGCTGGAAGTGCATTTTGCCTCTTGTTGTAACCATTTTTTGATGTGTTTTTTCACTTTCTGGTAATAATTCCATTCAGCCTGTAAACGGGTCTAATGAGACTTTGAACCAGTGCCGACTTCAGAGAGAGGTGTGGATTCCGAAGCCCTTTTGAAGTCTTTTTTTTCTTTTCTCTTGCGGTCCCTAATTCAGAATTTCCCCCTTCCCTTATCCACCCTAATGCTTTTGGCTGCCTTCGACCGACTGTTCCAAATCCTGATGGCCACATTTTGTTATTTTAGCAAAGCTCTTCAACTGCGTGCAGACAATAGCAAAGGACATTTCCAGACTGTTTTCGGGAGGGATCCAATCGCATACTAGCAAATTCAGGTCACACCAACGGAGCTGATTGGGAGGTCTTGCAAACTCTCTTCCAGATAGCTCAGTTGGTTAGACTGAGCATGGTGCTGGTAATAGCAAAGTCGCAGGTTCGAGCCCCATTTGGGACAGCTTCACATGCCTGCATTGTAAGGAGTTGGACTAGATGAAATTCACCAGAAAGTGTGGAATAAAACTTGGCTGCCAGTTTATTTCCAGGCCCAATGCAAGGTGCTCATGCTAGTTTTTAAAGCCCAAAATGACCTAGGCCCCAAATATCTGAGAGACTGCCTCATTCCCTACAGACCACCTCAGGTATTAAGATCAGCAGAGGAAGCCTTCTTGGTAGTTCCACTTCCCTCAGAAATTTGGGGTGATGGCAGCAGCCTGGAAGCCAGGACTCTTTGTGTCAGGCCTCAAAGTGTGGAACTCCCTCCTCATTGAGATGTTGCTGGGCTCCCAACTGCCCCAGTCAGCATGGCCCAAGGGTGAGGGATTATTGGAGATGTAGATTATTGGGTAGACAGGGTTAGGGGAGGGGTAGTACCTCAGGTGAGAGACACAGTGCGCTCCTCCTGTGGCATTTTGTCCACCTTTGGACCCTACGCCACACTAGGCTCTCAGCTCTGGCTCCTAGAAGCTGTCAGCATGTGGCAGTAGCCGTAGCCTGGGAAATGACTTTGACTACCTGGCTAAACCAGGTAAGGGTAGCCGGTGGGTCTCAAACCCTCAGTGAGTCACATCAAGGGCTTTCCTGCTTGGGAAGACAGGCTCCGTCAGATTGAGTGGATGAGACCAATAGTGGGTCCAAGACGGTTGCTGCATGTGTTGTAGAAGGAAGTGAGAGGCAGATGGGGCTCATCAACCTGGGAAGGTAGCCCATCTAGGAGAAGGAAAACTCTTATCCTAAACCTCCACTGAGAGCCAGTGTGGTGTAGTGGTTAAGAGCGGTAGACACGTAATCTGGTGAACCGGGTTCACATTGCCACTCCTCCACATGCAGCTGCTGGGTGACCTTGGGCCAGTCACACTTCTTTGAAGTCTCTCAGCCCCACTCACCTCACAGAGTGTTTGTTGTGGGGGAGGAAGGGAAAGGAGAATGTTAGCCGCTTTGAGACTCCTTTGGGTAGTGATAAAGTGGGATATCAAATCCAAACTCTTTTTCCTCTTCTCCACTGCCTTGCAGTACATCTGTGGGAGAAGTAAAGGCTAAGGAGTAAACCCTACGCAAGTCTGGATTAGCTCTTTGTACGCCTCCTTCCAGCAGCTCCTGCAGCCAAGCTGGTGCCAAATATCTTGCTCTGCTTTCTTTTGGACCACATTGGTGAGTTGGTCTTGTCGTCTGGGCAGCCCAGGACCTCCATACACAATGCCTAGGCTTGGGACCCAGGGAGGTCACTTTGCACCCCTTCTCTTATCGGTCTACTAAGACCTCATGCTCTTGATCATGTTGACTTCCCTTATGGGAGGATGTGCTTGTCATGATGAAGGTCTTTGGGTCATTGCCTGGCATCCCCAGGCAGAGCAATGAAAGACTCATGGAGGGCCTCTGCCATTTGATGTGGACAATATTGGCCTAGATGGAACAATGGTCTGACACACTGAAAGGGAGCTTCCTATGCTTTCTTTTATTCATCCAATTCCTACTGCAACCCTGAGTCATTTCCCCGCTCCCCCTTAGCAATTGTGTTTTGATTTCTTCATTGTTAACGAAATCTCCTCTTACAGGGTATGTTCCACAGCTGCTGGTATGCTAAACACAGATGTGTTATAGAAGCAAATGCTTCCAAGTGTGAAAGAGTGAAAACAGAATCAGAGCCAATGGTCCATTGGCAAAAACTATTATAGGCACAGCCTATTCTGTATTGGAAAGCAGAAGAGGAAAGGCAGAGAATTCAAGTCCTTTATCGACATACATAAAAGCTACAAGGGCATTCTCGTGTTTCCAAACCCTTTCACTGCATGCAGCCCATTTAAGTGTCCTGAACGAAGGCTGCTTTGCACAACTGTTGGAAGAAGCTGCTGAATTTTGTCTTCTGACACATTGCTGCAAATGTTGTAGTGGTGACCATAGATCAACTAGGTATTCTAAGTGTGCACCAAGTACACACATTGTTCATCTGATGGAGTGGAACACAGTCCACAAAACCTTGGGCCAAAATAAATTGGTTCGTCTTTTAAGGCCCAACAGTTTACAGAGTGATAGCTTATAGCAGAGGTTTTCAACCTTTTTGGGTCCATGGCTCCCTTGACCAACTTCATTCTTTCTGTGGCACCCCTGTGGGGCTCAGGAGCCCAGTTATGTCACCCCTTTCCTGCAGAGCCAGCAGCCCCTCACCCTTTTTCAAACACCCTGGAGTGTTCCCTCAGCCTCCTCTCCCCTCTCCAGGCCCCAAATAGAGGTGCCTCCTCACACTGCCCCACAGGAGCCTGGGAAGCACCCCTTGGCCAGCCCCAGAGGCACCATTCGCCTGGCGAGCTTGTAGCCAGGGCTGCTGCAGCAAACAGCCAAGCAAGCCTTTGGGGGGCAGAGACAAGAGAGGGCATCAGAGGAGGGAGGGAAAGAAAGAGGGATAGAGGCCAGTGTTGCCAGTGGCACTCCTGACCATCATTCAAGCACCAAAGATACAAACAAATGGCCCGTGGGGGTGTAATTTTAGTTGGCTTCTTCATGTTTTCTTGGTAGTTTTAGCATACCAGAATCAGGAGCATTCCCCACCTGGATTTTCTTTAAGAATTACTGGGCTCTTCCAGTTGACCTTTTTATTAAGGATTCAGCCCAATTTGCTTGCACAAATCTTATGCGATGGTGAGATTATATCCAGCCTCTGTTTGTTAGGATATAGTTCCGTTCTACCTTAAAAGGGATCAGGCATGACTGTTGTGTGTCGCATGCCTGTTTACTTCCAGCACAGGCTCACTGGGAACTTCCATTTGTATAATGCTTTTGCTATATTGCTGTTTGTTTGGACACGAAGGGAAGCAGACATGTTTTTCCTTTGTTCCTGAACGATGCTGAATAAACGCCTGTAAATAATTCTTACACATGTTTCTGCCCGCCACTTCTGTTGTGAGAAGATTTATTCACTCTGCTGATAGAGCGTGCCAAGTCTCTTAACGGTATCTGAGGCTTGTGTCGCTGTTTGATGCTGTTCCAAGGGAAACCGGAGTTCGCCTGGCTGCCGGCCGGTGGCTGGAGCCAGCTGGGGGCCTGCCTGATGCCGCCGTCTCCCCGGCAGTATCCCAACACTGTTGAGCATTTATTCTGGTTTATATACAGGGCAGTTATACAACAACAAGCGTTCATCTTGCATTCATTCGAATTTGCTTGGTGAGTACTTATATGTATATGGAAGAACATGAGATGAGTCTGCTGGTTCAAGACAATGACCCACCCAGTCCAGTGTCCTGTTCTCATATGTCTATGGTAAGCCCACAAGCAGGACCTGAGCACAAGAACACTTTCCCCTCTTACAGTTTCCAGCTGCTGGCATTCAGAAACATTCTTGCCTCTGATTATGGAGGCAGTGAATAGTCATCATAGTCATTATCTCACCCTCTTTTAAAGCCATCCAAGTTGGTGACCACCACTGCATTCTGTAGGAGTGATTTCTTCTTCTTCTTCTTCTTCTTCTTCTTCTTCTTCTTCTTCTTCTTCTTCCATCTATTAATCTGACCCCAATTCGTCCATCACGTTGATGGGAGACTCCACGAAGCTCATCAGCTTTGATAAAAATCAGATCCATACTGCATACAGCTGCCCAGATGAGAGCATTTGTTTGGCAGGTAGAATGGCATTGATTAGTAAGTGAACTAATAGCTGGGTGGCTGGCAGCAGTGGGTGGAAATCACTCTGACAAATTTCCCCTTGGGCCATGTTTGAAGAGGAAGTAAGATGACCTCAAGTCACCTCTTATTACAACCCCCCAACCCCCTCTTGCCTTTGAGCTTTGGGAGAGGGGATTTATTTTCCCCATTAACTCTTCCTTGCAGTGACAAATTGACGTTTGGGAAGGAGACGTCCTTTGAATCTATTTTTAAGTAGCAGTTGACCCAGTTCCTTCCCCTGTCTCAATGCACAGCATCTTCTGCAGAGTTTTTGTGGATGATGGCTCTACGCTGACCTGCAGTGACCTATCTTTGTGTCTTTGAGTGCCTCTGCAATGCATGAACCTGAAGTTGTTTCAACCACTTGCAAAGTCATTGCAATATCGAGCTTGAAAGGAGGGCCATGGGCATGGAGGAGAAGAGGACAGAGAGTTCTGTTAATGATGGGGAGAGAAGCAGAAAAGTCAGTGGCCACAACTAGATGTACATTTCTTTTTTAATTAAATGGATATCCTTCTCTTCCTCTTGAAGGAGCCCACAGCAGCAGGAAGAAAACTGGCTTGGGGAGGGGCTGGAATGGTGGGAAATGGAAGGGTTAAGCAACCTCTCCCCGTGGCTGATTTTTTAAAAAGAAAAATAATATGGGAAAGATGTATATATATATGCCATATCCCCTTTGAATGTGAGTAGACATGTAGTGCAGAACAACTGAAAGCCAATTTACAGAATCGGTCTTAAATTGTATGACCAAAGGCTGCAGGTGAGAAGTTGCATGTGTGAACGGTCCCTAATGATAAAAAAATACTGTGCACCTAGAAAGCTAGCACTGCAGGTACAAGGGTTCAGACTAGCCTTGCCCCTGACAAGCTAGCTTTCTATGTGCGAGCGGGAGCCTCTCCCCTCTGTATTCAAGCATGCTTCTTTAGCCAGGCAGAGTTTTACCACTCACTTGTGCTGGTTGTATAACAGAGCTCTATGTGTCTGGACACTTAAAATATGCAGAAGGCAGAAAAATCACCACAGTAACTTGATGGGCACCAGTAACATATTCTCTTTCCAGAGTCTGGCTTTGTGATCTGCAGCTGAGAGAATAACAGAGGGAAACAAATTGGACTAAACAAATTGTGTTGGCTGTGGATATATTTCATGTTATTTGAGTTGGGGTTAGCTGGTAGCAAATTGTTTGGTTTATTTGTTTGTTCTTTGTTTATTCCCTGTTTCAAAGTTTCTACTGAACTTTATCGGTTAAGCTTTATTTATTTAAAACACTTAATATCCTGCCCTTCGGTTGTTGTTGCTTTTAAAAAAACAAAACCCCAGCAAACTTCCAATGGGACTTACACATGAACAATAAACACATCTAAGAAATATTACAAAAGGGTGAGTAAGCCAAGCAACCTAAAATGATCAACAGTATTAAGCAGATCTGAAAAGCTATGTGCCCCCAGACTGCCACTATTTTGCAAGAGAGTTTCAAAGCACTTGCTGCAAATTAAAGTGGATTAAAGCACTCTTGTCGCTTTAGCACAACTAATCTTAAAGAGAGAGAGAGAGAGAAACTGGCTTTTTGCAGTTTGGCAAGTGACACAATGAACGAATGATGAATCAATGACTGGGAAGATGTAGAAACACAATGTGAGCAGATCAGATGAATGCTCATTGTAACTTCCTTGCAGAGAAACCAGAATGAATGCTCAGTAAACACCAGATATAGGCCCCATTGGCATGATATAAACATGTGAAGCAATATCGCACCGCTTTAAACAGCCACGGCTTGCACCAAAGAATCCTGGGAACTGTAGTTTGTTAAGGGTGCTGGGAGTTGTTAGGAGGCACCTAATGCCTTCGCGGAGCTACAATTCCCAGAGCGGTTTAGCAGTTCATCCCTCTTCCCAGTGAACTCTCTGGAAAGCCCAGCACTGCCATGGGGAAGAGTGGGGTGTGCCTGCATTTAGGGAAGAGAGAATGAGGTGTGTGGCTAAGCATATGTGTATGTGTATGTGAAAGAGTACGTCTGGACGTGTGATGAGTTGTGATGTGCTTCAGTGTGCACACAATGTGTGGGGCCCTGGCTGACTCCAGCTACATAAGCTCATATCCTCCAACTTTTTCTCTGATGAAAGAAAGGACGTATTTATCATCATCATCATCATCATCATCATCATCATACCCCATCCATCTAACTGGGTTGCCCCAACCACTCTGGGTGGCTTCCAGTGTGGTGTAGTGGTTAAGAGCGGTAGAGTCGTAATATGGTGAACCAGGTTCAATTCCCCGTTCCTCCACATGCAGCTGCTGGGTGACCTTGGGCCAGTCACACTTCTCTGAAGTCTCTCAGCCCCACTCACCTCACAGAGTGTTTGTTGTGGGGGAGGAAGGGAAAGGAGATTGTTAGCTGCCTTGAGACTCCTTAGGGTAGTGATAAAGCGGTATATGAAATCCAAACTACTCTTCTTCTTCTTCTTCTTCTTCTTCTTCTTCTTCTTCTTCTTCTTCTTCTTCTTCTTCTTCTTCCAACATATATAAGAACATAATAAAACATTAAACATTTAAAAGCTTTCCAGTACAAGGCTGCCGTCAGGTGTCTTCTAAAGGTTGTAGAGTTAGTAGCACCTTATATTAACTTGGGTAATGTAAACTTCAGGTTGTGAAAGCAGCAAACCCAGAAATGTTTTGCCGTGCGCGTATGCGCAGAAGCAGTCCCTCCAGTTGCAGAAACCTCAGGATCCGACCAGAGCTCCGGTATGGATCCCGTCCACAATCGGAGGTACCACTGTACTTATCTCCTTGGCTCCAGGGTCACATAACTCCATACCCTTCAACATTTCTCTGATAAAAATAGGGACATCCCACAGAAAAGCAGGACATTGCAGGATCAAATCAGAAACTAGGACGGCTTCTGTAAATCCGGGACTGTAAATCCTTGGAAAACAGGGCCTGACAAAGAGCACATTCCCCTCCTGTGATTTCCAGAGACCAGTATTCAGAAGCCTCCTGCTTCTGGCCCTCGGTGGGCTGCCCAACCATGAATGTGGCCCCTGTGTCCAGAAAGTATAGACAATACTGAGGTCAATGGGCCAATATTCTCACTTGGCTTCCATGTGTAAGCTAGACTGGTTCTGAATTGGTTGCAGATTCGCCAGTGAAGGGAATGCTAACAACTTTATGCTGCCAAGATGTAACCAAATGGATGGAAAAAGCCATTGCTTTGGAGCTGAACGTGTTCTGTTCTAGGAAGGTTTTCAGAGTCGCCTTTTGTAAGGATGCTGGATAAAATATCCAGGCATGTTCCAAGAACTGACTGGAAAACATTTCCGCCAATGCATCTTGGAAGAGAACTACCAACTTAAGAGCCACTGGTTTGTGTAAGTGGATTGTGTGTGTGTGTGTGTGTGTGTGTGTGTTTTTAAACTGGGGAGGCGGGATCACAATGTTCTTTCGTCGCTCCTGATTTTTCAGTGGCTTCTAAGCCACGAGAGACTTTGCAGATTTTATTCCATGCTCCGAGGTGCAACCAGTTTGAAAGGGCCGTACTATTACGAACTGGCATGGCTCAGTCCCGGCTACACTTACCTTTACAGTCCGGGCCATATGGCAGACTCATTAAAGCAAATGAATGCCATGTGGATCCAGCCAGCATGTGAGTCACATGATGTCTGTGGAGCAGTCAGCACTGCGTCGAAACAGACTTGCCCTTCGCTTTCTCCTCCTAGGAAACAGCAGCTTAGGAACTCCTGGAAATTAAATGTGTGCCCAGGTTACCTGGAATGCACACCAGGCCTTTCGGCAGTTGTTATAGTGGAAAAAGCTGATGGACTGCAGAAGCGGCCTTAATGGGGTGCTTTAACGATCCACGTTCTTTGTGCAGGGTTTTATATAGGTTTCACAGGCAGGGCTGGCATAAGGGTGCCAACAGACTTGTTATTTCAGTTGCGGAAACCAGAGGCTGAGGTGCAAATGAGTTTGGGCTTCTCCGGGTGACCTATTTCTTGAGCTTTCAGCGGGATTTGCTCGCACAAAACTTATGAGCTGTTTAGGGGCTCTCCAGACAGCTCTCTCCTTCCCCTTCCCCTTGGCTGTCTCCAGCAACATGCCATTGACATACAGTGGTACCTCGGGTTACAAACGCTTCGGGTTACCGGCGCTTCAGGTTACAGACTCTGCTAACCCAGAAATAGTACCTCGGGTTAAGAACTTTGCTTCAGGATGAGAACAGAAATCGCGCGGCGGCGACACGGTGGCAGCAGGAGGCTCCATTAGCTAAAGTGGTACCTCAGGTTAAGAACAGTTTCAGGTTAAGAACAGAGGTACCACTGTAGTGCATTCGTGGTGGATTTACAGTGGTACCTTGGGTTAAGAACTTAATTCGTTCTGGAGGTCCGTTCTTAACCTGAAACTGTTCTTAACCTGAGGTACCACTTTAGCTAATGGGGCCTCCTGCTGCCACTGTGTCGCCGCCCCGAGATTTCTGTTCTCATCCTGAAGCAAAGTTCTTAACCCGAGGTACTATTTCTGGGTTAGCAGAGTCTGTAACCTGAAGCGCCTGTAACCTGAAGCGTCTGTAACCCGAGGTACCACTGTATACTGAACCATCTGCCCACTATCTGCTTTATTGTTTATCCCATGATGCATCCCCAATGTTACTAAAGTGGAGGGTGTAGTAGGAAGTGTTACTGGAAGTGTTGCCGCCATCTGAAGGTGCAACAAAAGCGAGACAAAAAGCACCGGGACATTTGTGGTATAAAAGGTTCTTTAAGAAGAGTCCTGCCCATCTAGGCTGCTATAAAAGGGAGTGTGGTCTAAACCACGGAGCCTCATGGGCTTGCCAATCAATAGGTTGGTCGTTCAAATCCCCACGGCGGGGTGCGCTCCCGTTGCTCTGTCCCAGCTCCTGCCAACCTAGCAGTTCGAAAGCACACAAGTGCATGTAGATAAATACCGTATTTTTTGCACCATAACACTCACTTTTTTACTCCTAGAAAGTAAGGGGAAATATCTGTGCGTGTTATGGAGCGAATGCCTGCGGGTGGCGGGGGGGGATCTGCTGCAGTCGTGAGCAGAGGATCCATGGTTCCCCTTCCTTCCCTCCTCCGTGGTTACAAAGCATGGATCCACATGGATCCTCGGGATTTTTGCACTGGGCTACTCCAAACTCACTGTCAGATCACATGTCTGTGGCCACAGCATGAACCACAAAAATCATATATCCACTATTTTGTTTAGAATATTTTTTTCCTTGTTTTCCTCCTCTAAAAACTACGTGCGTGTTATGGTCTGGTGCGTGTTATAGAGCGAAAAATACGGTAGATACCAATCCGGCGGGAAGGTAAACAGCATTTCCATGCACTCTGGTTTCTGTCACAGTGTTCCATTGCACCAGAAGCGGTTTAGTCATGCTGGCCACATGACCTGGAAAGCTGTCTGTGGACAAACACCCAGCTCCTTTGGCCTGAAAGCCCAATGAGTGCCACACCCCATAGTCATCCCATAACCGTCCAAGGGGTCTTTTACCTTTTACCTTTACCTTACACAGCTTTAAAAAACACTTTGAAAATGCTCTGAAAAAAAACCATTTTGAAGCTCACAATGGAAAATTTCATAGGGAACTACTTCAGCTCTACAGCGCCATCTGGTGTCACAATGTTGGAATGCATTTATAACATTTCTTTAAAATTTAAAGTCACAGGTAGGTAGCCGTGTTGGTCTGCCGTAGTAGAAACAAAATTTAAAAATTCCTTCCAGTAGCACCTTAGGGACCAAATAAGTTTGTTATTGGTATGAGCTTTTGTGTGTATGCTCATACCAATAACAAACTTACTTGGTCTCTGAGGTGCTACTGGAAGGAATTTTTAAATTTGGTTTAAAATTTAAAGTAATGTAGCTAAGTCCCTTGTCCAGCATCCAGTTCTCACAGTGGCCAACCCACGGGAAACCTGCAAACAGGACATGAGGGCAAAAGTGCTCTACTCACCTGCAGTTCCCAGCACCTGCTTTGGAGGCATACTGTCTCTTGACAGTGAAGGTAGCACATGATTTCAGCAGGATGCTGTGAGGCATACACCAATTGGAAATCGAAACCCGTATGTCCACTCCAAAACTTTCACAGGTGGAAACAGGATTTTATATTGTTGTTCTTTAGCCAGAGCACGCCAGGCACTCCTGTCTTCCATTGCCTCCCACAGTTTGGTCAAACTCATGCTGGTAGCTTCGAGAACACTGTCCAGCCATCTCGTCCTCTGTTGTTCCCTTCTCCTCCTTGTGCCCTCCATCTTTCCCAACATCAGGGTCTTTTCCAGGGAGTCTTCTCTTCTCATGAGGTGGCCAAAGTCTTGGAGCCTCAGCTTCAGGATCTGTCCTTCCAGTGAGCACTCAGGGCTGATTTCCTTCAGAATGGAGAGGTTTGATCTTCTTGCAGTCCATGGGACTCTCAAGAGTCTCCTCCAGCACCATAATTCAAAAGCATCAATTCTTTGGCGATCAGCCTTCTTTATGGTCCAGCTCTCACTTCCATACATCACTACTGGGATTTTATATAATCACCTCAATAGAATTGTGAGCACAAATAATCATTAAGACACAATGAAAGACATATAAAGGGGTCCTTAGACCATCTGTTATCCAAACTTCCATTTGTCCATGATTTCCAGGTACAGGTCAATGAGGTTTTTCTTTTGTCTCGCTGCTGAATTTGAACAAGCGTCAATTGTGTTTTACGCAGATTGGAGCTTGTAAGCAGTGGGTTTTCCCGGGGAAAGTGGTGGGTCAAAAGAGGACCCTCTCGCATACCCTCCAACATTTCTCTGTTGGAAATGGGGACGTCCCATTCCATAATGATAATTTTTACTATTTATACCCCCCCCACACATCTTAGTGGGTTGCCCCAGCCACTCTGGGCAGCTCCCAACATAGATAGAAACATAACAAAACATTAAACATTAAAAAACTTCCCTATACAGGATTGCCTTCAGATGACTTGGGAGTTGGATAGCTCCATACCCTCCAAAATTTCTCCAATGAAATTAAGGACATCCTAAGGAAAAGTGGGACCTTCCGGGATCAAATCAGAAACCAAGACGGCTTCTCTAAATCAGGGATCTCCCTGGAAAATAGGGATACTTGGAGGGTCTGCTCTTGGACTTGTGCCTAGAAATCATTCGATTATTCCATTTCTACACTGCCAAATATGTTAAAAATATGTCTAATCGGATATCTGCTCACCCTCACTGAGTTCAAACCTACCTGATTACTTCCAGGTAAGTGTGAAAAGGATTGCAACCTGTGTCCTGCTATTATAGACCTTTATGAGAACGCTGCCCTTCTTTTTTAATAATAAAAAAGACACTTCCCCCAAAGTATTCTGGATCGCATATAGAAATTATTTTGCCACAGGTCCTCTATCTAGAATTCCTTCCACGTCCCCTGAAAACACTGCAGCTACTCTCAAACTTCTGTCTGAACCTGTGATGCTATTTTAATGCTCTCTGCTTAAATGTCTGTTCAAATGTATTGGTACCATCTCTTTTCACCCTCAGAGAGTTCTCTCTCTCTCTCTCTTTCTGCTGAGATCCACAGAAAGGCATATAAAAAACATGCTGTTATTCTGTGGTAATTAGGCCCCGGAGAGGTCCTGAGGAACATGGTTTTACCACATTACCTTGTAATGAAGGTCTCAGAAGTATAATTAATAACAAAAAAAATGTATCCATTCATCTGTTTCACATAAGCCTTTTAAAGTTCATACAGGAACATAGGAAGTTGCCTTATAGCATGTCAGACCAATGGTCTTCCTAGCTTAGATTGTCTACACTGGCTGGCAGCAGCTCACCAGGATTTTGAGTTGGAGTCTTCTTCATCTCTACTGGAAGCCTGAATCCCAGAACTTGGGCCTGCAGAGTATGTGGTTTTCTGCTGAGCTTTGGCATATAACACAGTCTTATATAACTCAACAACTTTGCTGAAGCCTCCCCAGAAAAAGCTCAACAACCTCGGGGGTCTTCCTCCCCCCAAAAGCTCCACAACCTTGGGGGTCTTCCTCCCCCCAAAAGCTCCACAACCTTGGGGGTCTTCCTCCCCCCAAAAGCTCCACAACCTTGGGGGTCTTCCTCCCCCCAAAAGCTCCACAACATTGGGGGGTCTTCCTCCCCCCAAAAGCTCCACAACTTTGGGGGTCTTCCTCCCCCCAAAAGCTCCACAACTTTGGTCAATCCAACGGGTAGATCACTGCCAGTTTTTTTAATAGTGGGAGTAGATCGCAGTCTCTTGGGAGTTGGACATGCCTGGACTAGATGATCCTCATGGTCTTTCTCAACAATTCTGTGATTCTATGATCTTCATTAGGGACGCGGGTGGTGCTGTGGGTTAAACCACAGAGCCTAGGACTTGCCGATCAGAAGGCGGTTTGAATCCCCGTGACGGGGTGAGCTCCTGTTGCTCGGTCCCTGCTCCTGCCCACCTAGCAGTTCGAAAGCACGTCAAAGTGCAAGTAGATAAATAGCTACCGCTCCAGCGGGAAGGTAAATGGCATTTCCGTGCGCTGCTCTGGTTCACCAGAAGCAGCTTAGTCATGCTGGCCACATGACCCGGAAGCTGTACGCCGGCTCCCTTGGCCAATAAAGCAAGATGAGCGCCGCAACCCCAGAGTCGGTGACGACTGGACCTAATGGTCAGGGGTCCCTTTACCTATGATCTTCATTGTACAGCTGGTTGACTGTACATCAGTCACGTGCACCGAAGAAGTGTAGGATCTGTACAGATTTTGTGATTCTCTGAAACAACCTTCTGCTTTTTTCTTTGAATACACAATCCTGTTTTAATCCCCTCACCCCAGGAAGTAAGAATATATTCATTGTTATTTAATAACACTATGAAATGTGGCTGATACAGAGAGCTTAGCAGCTGTAAGGCCGGAGAGAAAAGGATGCAGATGGATGGAGTAATATTAGCAATAGGAGTTTGATGGTGTTGATGGGGAGGCTATTTATTTTTCTGCCTCTTTGCCAGCCAAAGTGTTTGAGTGCACGAGAAAATCTGAACATATTTGAGCAAGCTGCAAGCAAACAAATCTCTTCCTTTATATCTGCAGGACTAAGAGCCACAATGTTTGCAGATGGTGTCAATACGGAAAAATCAGCTCTCATTGTATGTTTTCTCAGAGTTGGCTTCTCTCCCCCCTACGGCTGGTTTCTTGAATTTTGGCACCATGTTTCACACCTCAAGGCTCTAAAGAAACAAAAAACGGCATTCTTACTGTCATTGCTGACAAAAGCCTCACACATCATATTGTCAAAAAAAGTTAGCCGCATTACTGTATAGTCTGGCAAAAAAGTATTTTCTGTTCATTGAGGAGGAGAAGCTGGCACTCACACGTATTGGGGTGAAAATGGGATGATGTAACATTTCCATAGGTCCTGTTTGCTTTCTGCAGGATGTGGCAGCTTGCTTTTCGAGAGATGTATACCTTTTGTTTTCTCCATAGTGCTGCATGTTGTTATTGTTTAGTCGTTTAGTCGTGTCCGATTCTTCATGACCCCATGGACCAGAGCACGCCAGGCACTCCTGTCTTCCACTGCCTCCCGCGGTTTGGTCAAACTCATGCTGGTAGCTTCGAGAACACTGTCCAACCATCTCGTCCTTTGTCGTCCCCTTCTCCTTGTGCCCTCCATCTTTTCCAACATCAGGGTCTTTTCCAGGGAATCTTCTCTTCTCATGAGGTGGCCAAAGTATTGGAGCCTCAGCTTCAGGATCTGTCCTTCCAGTGAGCACTCAGGGTTGATTTCCTTCAGAATAAATAGGTTTGATCTTCTTGCAGTCCATGGGACTCTCATGAGTCTCCTCCAGCACCAGAATTCAAAATCATCAATTCTTTGGCGATCAGCCTTCTTTATGGTCCAGCTCTCACTTCCATACATCACTACTGGGAAAACCATAGCTTTAACTATACGGGCCTTTGTTGGCAAGGTGATGTCTCAGAAATAATGGGGTGTCTCCAGTGGCAGACCTAATCAGAGCAGTCCAATGGAAGTTCATAGAACCGACTAGGGCGCCATTTGCATTCAAAACGGCACCACCATACCACTTTTAACAGTCATGGCTTCCCCCAGAGAATCCTGTAGTTTGGTAAGATTGCAGAGAGTTAGGAGAGCCCTATCCCACTCACAGAGCTATAATTTTGGAGTGATTTAACAATCCATCCCTCTTCTCTAAGGGGTAGCTCAGTCGGTAGAGCGCAAGACTCTTAATCTCAGGGTCATGGGTTCGAGTGCCACGTTGGGCAAAATATCCCTGCATTGCTGGGGGTTGGACTAGATGACCCTCGTGGCCCCTTCAAATTCTACAATTCTATGATTCCCTTGAAACCTGGACTAGACAGCCCTTCAAACAGAAGATTGCTTTAGATAAAGGACCGTACTTTGAGATATATGATTTTTTCAATTTTTACAAACATCAAATAAAAACGGAAAACAACACGTATATCCCCTTTGACTTCCCTCCCCCCTTTTGTGGATCCTTATGTTATGATTTCCCCCTGCATCCCCTTTATAATTCCAATTTTTAATAAATCCTTAAATATTCCTTCATTCAGATTTTTAACTGCAAGTTTTATATCAATCCTGCTAATGCATTTAATTTTTTGCAATAGTTTTTCATATATGTTATATACTTTCCCCATTCTTTATTAAAAAAATTTTCTGGTTTCTAATTCTTCCCATACATTTTGCCATTTTGGCATAGTCCATTAACTTGGTCTGCCATTCTCCCTTGGTCGGAACGGTATCATCCTTCCGTCTCTGGGCTAACAAAATCCGGGCAGCTTTGGTCGTATACATAAACAGTTTCACCAGGTTCTTCGATATCTTGGCACCTCATACTCCTGTAGAGCAGGGCACAGGCCTAACCTGTCCATTTCTGCTTCTACAAGTCTCCTCTGGACAAGTGTGGGGCCAGACAGAGCTTGCTGAATCCCAGCTACAACAAATCATGCTGAAGCAACTCAGGCAATTTCCAAAAGGCCCTTGAAACGGTTGCCAGTATTAGCCTGTTTATGTACATACTGGCTGAAGCCTCCTCTGAGGACTCCAGTGGATTAGTACTCCATAAGCTTCTTTTTCCGGAAAGCCTGGCTTGGTACATCAATAAGCAAGCTGTTCAAATAGTTTGGTTTGGAAAAAATAATATATATATTTTTTTAAAAAAGAGTTTAAGCAAACATGCCTGTAAGTCTCAGGTTTTTCTTCAGACTCTTTCAGAACCAATGCACAGCACACTTGGACTTTTTCCATTTCTCCATGTGTTCTGTGGAAAACAGGGAAGCTGTCAGGAAGGTTCACGCCGAGGGCATCCCTGGAGCACAGCTGCAACGCAGACATCTTCAACCTGTAGGAAGTCCTCTTCGACACTTGATTTAAATGCTCTTTATAAAAACATAAAACCATTACTCAGATGCTCTTGGTTCCTCTGTTACCCAGCAGAAGCAGAATTTGTTCGGAGATCAAACGCCCTGCTTGGGCTACTTCTGGCACGATGCAAGTCAGTGTTCTGTGCAAAGGGAAGGATCCCCCAAATTCTGCATCAGCCTGTCTGTTCAACAGCCTTGGTCAACCTGGTGCCCTCCAGATATTTTGGATGTTGGCAAATCCAGATGAAAATGGGAACAGGAAACTGCCAGTGCTTGCTCGTTCGTCCCAAATCCAGAATGGAAATCAATCCAGCGTAAAAGATTGGTATTCACTGTCACTGCTGCTTTTTTTAAAAAAATATGTTTTTATTAAACAATTTCAACAAAACTAATTATCAATCCAAATAATCAATTACTTTTTTTTGCCCTTTTTTATTCCCCGCTGTCCCTCCCTCTCACCCCCACCAAAGACTTCCCTCAGCTCCCCTCTCTGATTTGTTTGCACATATTATTCTCTGCATGTTAAAAGTTGTACATATCATTACCTTATCTGTCATATATCCTACTAATAAATTTGTGGATGTTTATTCAAAACCTGCCAAGGAGTCCAAATCATTTTGTTGTTTTTTAAAATAGTTTGTAAAAAGTTCCCAATCTTCCTTGAAGTCACGATTGTCCTTCTCACATAATTTATGTGTCAACTTTGCCAACTCTGCAGAACTCATCAGTTTTTCTTGCCATTGTTCTTTTGTTGGGATTTCCTCCTTCTTCCATCCTTGTGCTAACAAGACTCTTGCCGCTGTTGTGGCATACATAAATAAATTATTTGTTTTCCTTGGCAGGTCTCATCCTAAAATCCCCAACAAAAGTGCTTCTGGTTTCTTTACAAATGTCATTTTAAACATTTTTTTTCCAATTCATTATATATCGTTTCCTAATTTTTTTTAACTTCTCTACATTCCCACCACATATGATACAAAGTACCTTCTTTTTCTTTACATTTCCAACATATACTTGACCCGGTTTTGTACATTTTTGCCATTTGTACTGTCGCTGCTGCTTTTGGTCCACAAAGATGCTCAGTTGATTATGTTGCATTTGCCTTTTGTTGAAGTGAAGCAGGTGGAGTAATGTAATGACAACATAATTACACAATGTATGAAATTTGCCTAATTAATTACGTACATAACTTTACCGTAGAGACAGATAATGTTGTTTTTGGATGAAGTATAACAGCAGTGGAATGGAAACAGTGCTGTGTGAGATGGATACAGGGTGGAACAGAAAAGGATGCCTTCTTACACACCTGAAACCCCACCAGCCCCAGCCAGCAAAGCCATGCTGGTGGATATTGTCCTCTAATACCTTTTGGAGGGCACCACTTTGGTAAAAGCTGTTGTGCACTAAGGGCGTCATTGCCGATTCCTCTCCAGATACATCTACCAAATAAAGTGGATGGCAATAATGTGGTGACGTTGGGCAACGAATAAAGTGGAATGGTATCTGGATGGTCCAATATGAATCCACCTCTAATCCACTATTATTGAATCAGTGGCATGTTGTAGAGCACACCTGGGGGAAAAACCACAAGTTTGGGGGGTTCCTCTCAAAACTGATTTTTCAAAGTAAATAAGTAGTATACCTCTGAATGAGGGATAGAAAGAACTGTCAATTTTGTTTCTCTAGGCTCCTTATTTTCCCAGTCTTAAATTCAGTTCCCCATATTTCTGCAACAATTTGTGATTTAAAAAAAAAAAACTGCATGAAAATTAATCAGCATATTAGTGTGAATTTCTCTGAATAATCACATTTTTATATGCTCACTTTTGCCTAATGTGCAGATTTTTGCAGGCCATTTCCCATAATGAAATGCATTTCTCTGTGTTATTTTCATAAGGTCTTCATTTTTTTATGTACACCCCTCCCCCAGTCTATGCATTTTTGTGAACATTGCTCAGCTGCGGAACTGCATTGCAAAATTCAGAAAATTGTGAATTTTGAAGGACGGCTGTGTTTCGGTTCTCATATTGTTTTGGAAAGCGCAAATTCGGATCGGCCTTTAAATGCGAACTGAATCGAATAGCTTCCCCATCCCTACGCAGTAGTCAAAAACCAAGGGAAAGAGGTGTGACATCAGTATGTGACAAAATCTGGTTTGCCACTTCTGTGGACCAGTCAAAGTGGTACTGGAGGCAGGAGACACCTCCATCAGCAACTTCCCACTTCTTTAATTGCTTCTGCATCCCTACTCTGAATACTGGCATTAAGTGCCGTATTTTTCGCTCTATAAGACGCACAAGACCACAAGACGCACCTAATTTTTGGAGAAGGAAAACAAGAAAAAAAATATTCTGAATCTCAGAAGCCAGAAAAGCAAGAGGGATCGCTGTGCAGTGAAAGTAGCAATCCCTCTTGCTGTTCTGGCTTTTGGGATAGCTGCACAACCTGCATTCACTCCATAACACACACACACATTTCCCCCTTACTTTTTAGGAGGGAAAAAGTGAGTCTTATAGAGCAAAAAATACGGTATTCTTTCTGCTCTGCAGCCTTTACTCTCTACCCTCTTTGTGGCATTGCTGTTTTCCCTTCATGCAAAAAGACAGTGAAGTAAATTGCATATATGGGTAGCCTGGCGTACAAGCAAGAGAGAGTCCCATTTGCTGCCTTTCGATTTGGCTTATCTGTGAACCCTAAACTATATTTCAGCAAGCACACTTTGCTTCAGTAGTTTTCCAGCTGGTCATTTCGGGGGTGAGGGGGGAAATTCTGTGATCCGAAGTGTGTGGTGCTAGTTGCTCAAGGCAATGCTGTTTAGCCTTTAATGTTCTCCATCGTTTCCCACTTCCAGTGCTCCTAATGGCCAGATGCTCTCCTGCACTTCAAAGGAATTTTGGATTTTAAAAGGAATGGTGAGTGTTAAAACACTGTAGCTGCTCTTTGATCCTCGTTCACTTTCCATTTAAGTCACATTAATCAATTATTTCCCCATTTCTTTTGCCCTTTTTGGCGGGGAGGGTGTGCGGGGTTTGGGGATAGAAATATGTTTTGATTTAAAGATGCATAGTTCAAACTGCACATGTGCAGACCTAACAAGGCTAGTATATATCTTTAGCAAGAGCTGAAGATGTCAGTTACCTCATCAGTTTCACTTCAGCTGGGGGCACTTCCAGACTGTGGCTATTTTCAGGTGGGATTCAAACACATCCCAGCAAATTTGGGGTTGTGCAATTATCGTTGACTCTGAGGTCTTGCGCAACAAACCCATTTCTCCCCCAAACTGGACTTTTTGAGATAAGGAAAGCAATGGTGAAATGCTTTGGAAACCGAGGGGTTAATATTTGCTTTGAAACAACAACATCGCAAACGAATTGGGATGAATGCTCATTAAATAGCCAACATCGTTTGACCTCCCTGCAAACAAATCAGGATGAACGCTCAATAAACAGGTCATCTGGAATGACCAAGAGTAAGATGCTAAACTATTCTAAACCATAGTTTAGCCTGTTCAGCTACAATACTTACTGGAGTGGCCACCATCCCTTAGCTTAACTTACCTCACAGGGTTGTTGTGAGGGTAAAATATACCTGGGGGGGGGTGGCCAAGTATGCTGTCTTGAGCTCCTTAAGAGGATAAAAGTGTATGTAAAAGGGCATTTAAAGGCAGATCAGAGCACATCTGCTGACACTGGGTGATAGTATTTCTAAGTCCCCCTGATATCAGTGGGAAAGTTTTAACCACATACTTTACATTCCCTTTAAAATCAGTGAGACATACAAGTACTTCACTTTGGCTATCCGTGCCTAAGGCTTGTCAATTTTCAGAACATGCTGGGCCAAAGTACTTTCTCTCTCTCCCTTTTTAAAAAGTATTTGCACAGCTTGTGGAAATTACCCGACATGAAATTAAATCCATTAGTTTTGTAAGTTTGCCTCTGCCAGCTCCTTTCCCCACAGTCAACGTCTTCATTGCAAAATAAGCAAAACGTTTGTCTTATTAAGTTCTAATGAAAGGGGGACAGGAAGCCCAGGAGAATGTAGCACGTTCCACCTGGTTGTTTGGGTCGCCTTTCTTAAATTTGATCGGTCAGCTGAGCAAGTGGCAAAATGCTTTGGCTTGTTGGCTTATGATCCCAACCCGTTTTAGTTGGAAAGCCGAGAGTGTCTAATATACAGGGGCAGAGAAACTTTTTCAGACTAAGGGCCACAGTCTGAAAGGTTTCCTGAGTTCGTGGAGAGCTGCTGCCAGTCAGAATAAGCAATTCTGGGCTAGATGGACAAATAGCCTGACCTGGAACAAGGCAGTTTCTGTATGGGTGCATTCACACATGGGGATTATTGTGTTAGTTTTCCTGGCTATAACGCTAATTTCCTACTCTTATTTATTTATTTATTTATTTTTCTCTATTCCCCATCCCCCCCCCCTTTTGTTTGGTCAGAAAAAGAGAAAAAGATACTTAGTTTGGTTAAAAAAAAGGGGGAAAGATACCAAGTTTTGTATTTTTCTCTATAAACCTTAATTAAATTTATTTTTAAAAAGAAGATGCAGAAAGCTTGTAATTCAAATTGCAAGAAAGGAGATGTGGCGATCACAACAGGGTCCCCGGACGTTTCACCGTCTATTGATCCCTGTGCCACCACTTTATTTCTCACTGCCACCACCCAGGCCCTACCAGGTACAATACTGAGTCCAATCAGGTTTAAATTCGAACATAAACTTTTGTTTATTTATTGCAGTTTGACAAGCATGTGGTTTCATAAAGGGTATCAGTCATTTACAATCATGGGGTGCCTATCCGGACCTATAACGTCCGCTACCTGCTCTCACTCACTAAACCACCTCTCAGATATTTACCGTACTTGTCTTCCTAGCTCCTAACTGTTCCTGACTCAGCTTCTTTCTCTACACTCACTCAACCTACTCACAGACTCTATCCCAATTCACTCCCACTCCAACCAACCACCCACCCAACTCCCAACGAACTCCCCCCTTCACCCCTCCCAGAGCTGGTTTTATAGTCCCTCTGACTCCACCCCCTGGGTTCTGATTGGGTAACCTGTTTAACTATTTCACCTCCAGCACTCTCATATGTTAACGTCACAGGAGATATCAGCTAAACATTAGGAGGAACTTTCTCATGGTAAAAGCCATGGAATGGACTCGCTCGGGAGGTACGGGAGGTTTTCAAACAGAGGCTGGATAGCCATCTGTCATGGATGCTTCAGCTGTGATTCTTGCATTGCAGGGGGTTGGACTAGATGTCCCTCGGGGTCCCTTCCAACTCTACAGCCCTATGATTCTAGGACTGAAGCTGCTACTGTGAGTGATGTTACTGAGACAGAAACCAAACTTGCCATTCAGTTTCATGAGTCTCCCTGATTTAGCTTTTTTCATCTTGTAGTAAATGGCTTCCATTCACATCAATGGGAGAGGAAGAAAAAAGTAGCAGATTGCACGCTCCCTCTGGAGTGCAGGAGGCCCTACACACCAGCTGCATGACCTAACTAAACCATGGAAAGTTAGCAAACAGCTTTTTATATAGATGATAAACTTTGATAAGTCTGGCTGCTAAGTCTGGATGGCTCAGAGCTAGCGTCTTGGAAGCAGACCTTACAAGAACTTAATTCCTTTGCCAGCAACCGAGCGGGAGATGCCTGGATTAGAACTTACAAACAAAGCCTTGAATCGATGTTTTGGTGTCAAAGGCTGGCAGTATACAACATCTTAACGGTGTTGCTTTTAGGATCCATTTTGGAACATGATCGCCTGGAGGGTATTGTTGCAATATCTGTTGTGGTTATCTTGGCTCTACTCCCATTCAACTTGTGAGGGATGCACGGTCAGAGGAAGGAATCTAAATCTCTTGCTCCTGAGATGCTTTAATAGTTGATGACTAGGGGCTACATGAGCAACACCCATAGCCAGCGTGTTGAAAGGCACGCACCGACTTATGCACAGTGTGTGGTTAACTTGAGAGATTCACAGCCATAAGATTGGGTGATGCACAGATCCCTTTAAAGAGAGGTTAGGCAAATCCAAGGAGAGCAGGAACAGTAGCTAAATGACACAGAGAGGCAGGGAAAGTGTGCAATTTTTTTGGGGGGGGGGGAATAGATTCCTGAAAACAACATGCAAAAAATCATTGTACAGTACCTTGGGTTATGAGACACGGGTGGCGCTGTGGGTTAAACCACAGAACTTAGGACTTGCTGATCAGAAGGTTGGCAGTTTGAATCCCTGCAATGGGGTGAGCTCCCGTTGCTCGGTCCCTGCTCCTGCCCACCTAGCAGTTCGAAAGCACCTCAAAGTGCAAGTAGATAAATAGGTACCGCTCTGGCAGGAAGGTAAACGGCGTTTCCGTGCGCTGCTCTGGTTCGCCAGAAGCAGCTTAGTCATGCTGGCCACATGACCCAGAAGCTGTACGCCAGCTCCCTCGGCCAATAAAGCGAGATGAGCGCCGCAACCCCAGAGTCGGTCACAACTGGACCTAATGGTCAAGGGTACCTTTACCTTACCTCGGGTTACAGACACTTCAGGTTACAGATGCTTCAGGTTACAGACTCCACTAACCCAGAAATTTACCTCGGGTTAAGAACTTTGCTTCAGGATGAGAACAGAAATCGCGCAGCAGCGGCACGGCGGCAGCGGGAGGCCCCATTAGCTAAAGTGGTGCTTCAGGTTAAGAACAGTTTCACGTTAAGAATGTACTCTGGAACGAATTAAGTTCTTAACCTGAGGTACCACTGTATTAGGGAAAGGTGCTTTGCAAGGAGGTGCAAAGTTGTATACGAAGAGGGTTGTATTAGGAGAAAACCACACTGGAATGCTACTGAATTTTCATGAGGCCTTTAAAAAAACAACAACAACACCTCATGTGGAAATGTGGAGAACTGAATTTAAGATTAGAAAAATGAGAAATGGAGAGAAATCAAAATCGACAGATGCGCTCATCCCTGCTTGAGGCTACACACACACACACACACACACACGCACATAGACTACTCAATGCCAGATCCTGACAACAAACTGCAAGGGAAGGATGCCACTTCGAAGCCTGGCTTGCGAGCTTCCCAGAAGCATCAGCTGGCCAAACACTGGGCTAGACCGAGTTTGTTCTGATCTAGCAGGCCAGTTCTTATCATGCAATGCCTTTGGCGTTTGGCTCAAGAAACCGTCAGTCAATGGGCAAAGCCTTTTGCATGCTGCCAAACCTATTTGGCCTTCTACCGACTGTACACATACATTAATAGACACCCCCTCCCAAGTGCTTTGTAAACAGGTTTCTCTCCCTGGCCCCTTTAAAGCAACCAAGAAGTGTAAGAGGTTTTGACACAGGCTGTTCTTTCTGAATGCACTTAGGCATATCACACAGTACATCATGGCCAAACCTTTCCATGCTGTTCCTTTCCCAGGAGCCCTGCTTGCCAAGCACAACATGGTCTGGGTGGTGGGGAAAATAATCAGGAGGAATCGGGTTTTAACCTAGATGTCTACCCCTGTGTACATGCTTGGCACTGGGCACCCTGTGCATAAATCAACAGGATCTGTCTCCAGTTTTCCAGTTTGCAGAATGCTAAGAGAGCAGCACCAGCCTTTGGACTGGACGGTTTTTGCTGGTGGGTTTTTGGTTTGTTTTTTGGTTTTAAAGTCAAAGTGGATTTGGAACCGCCTGTTGTTTAACGTTAAGCTAGTTCTCTAAGCCACTTGGGACCCGGTTGGATAACTTGTAGACGTAAATCACAAATATGTACGAAGCAGGAATTGATCACCTTGGCACCAGGCTTCTGTGATCATCAGGGTCTTCACTCGGTGTAGCAATTCACACACACACACACACACACAGAGAGAGAGAGAAGGGGAAGAAGAAGAGTTTGGATTTGATATCCTGCTTTATCACTACCCGAAGAAGTCTCAAAGCGGCTAACATTCTCCTTTCCCTTCCTCCCCCACAACAAACACTCTGTGAGGTGAGTGGGGCTGAGAGACTTCAGAGAAGTGCGACTAGCCCAAGGTTACCCAGCAGCTGCATGTGGAGGAGCGGAAACGCGAACCTGGTCCCCCAGATTACGAGTCTATCACTCTTAACCACTACACCACACTGGCTCACCACACTGGGAGCAGAAGAGGTTGGATAAATGCAAACATTTGCACAGCTGGGAGGGGGGATTCCCTAGGAAGAGATGGAAATCTGGTGACACTTTTATTTGTCGAGGCCAGCACCAAACCTGCTTGCAAGTGATCTGAAGCAGAACAATTTCTAGGATTCGCTGTGAGCAGTGAGTCTGTAGAATGGGAAGCAAGTACAGTGATCCTCAAGCTGACCCAGAATAAGCAGCTGAGAAGGCTCATAGCTCAGTGGTAGAGCTCAGTGGTCTGCTTTGCATGCAGAATGTCCTAGGTTCCATCCCTGGCATCTCTGAGTAGGCTTGGGAGAGAATGTTGGGAATCATTCTGCAAAGAAACAGTAAGGATGTTTGTACCTTTAAGAACTGTTTCTGTGAGCTTTGGGCAGATTGGGTACAGCTGGTCATGACTACAAAAGGAGGGAAAGTTGCAGTTTGAACTTTGCCTGCAAGGAAAAACACCCACAAGCTTTGTTGTTTTGTAATAAACCTTTATTTGTATGGTTTTACACCGGTCTCGTGGTGTCATAGCTTCTGTCATCTGCCACCAGAGGAAAAAAAACCCCTCTAACAGGGGCCTGAAACCCTGGAGAGGTCCTATGGGGAAGCAATTACTGTTAACCCACTTTAAATCTGTAGATCCCATAAGAACTCATCACCTGGAGAGACCACTATGAGCAACCTGCCAAGTGCAGTGGGATCAGACTCAATAAGGGCTGGCTATTGTTTTGATATCTTGGGGGATTTGATGGCAGGGAATTGAATTGAATTTTATTATTTCAGTCACAGACCAGTTCCAGCCCACATACGGTATCAAGGAAGTCATAAAACACAATAGGGATACATTTGAATTTGCAATGACGTATAACAGGGACAATACAGATATAGCAACAGTTAAAAAATATGTAAGTTAAAACTTAATCACTAACATATAACCTAAAATTGTCATTTAAAACCTTAATCATTATGATAGCACAGCTTGTTCCCTACGTTTTATGGCAATCGCACAGAATTTGGCTACCCTTAACGTGATCTCAGGATCCTTGTCCTCTACCAGGGATTTTAGACATTGACGTTCGGATTCATTTGGAGATTTTTGTATAGCAGGGGTAATAAATACTGAGCATATATCCCTGTAGAAACGGCAGCGTAACAAGGCATGAGAGACAGTTTCTACCTCCATCAAGCCGCAGGGGCAGACTCATTCTGCGTATGGTTTACCCTCAAATCTGCCCTGCTATAAGGCAGATGGCAGCATGTTGTATGGCAGGGAAGGAAGTGTGTGGCTGTACCAAGGGCTAAAGCATCAATAAAACTAGAGTTGCTTCTCTTTTGTTGATAACTGGGGCTCTGGGTTGGGTATATTACCCCATAGAACCCATAAATCAAGGGGCATTCGATGTGTCACTCCCCCACAGAGCCGCAGAACTGTAGAGTTGGAAGGGACCCCAAGAATCATCTAGTTCAGTGTTTCTCAAACTTGGGTCCCCAGCTGTTTTTGGACTACAGTTCCCATCATCCCTGACCACTGGTCCTGCTAGTTAGGGATGATGGGAGTCGCAGTCGGAAAACAGCTGGAGACCCAAGCTTGGGAAACGCTGGTCTAGTCCAACCCCCTGCAATGCAGGAACCACAGCTGAGGAATCAGGATGACAGGTGGCCATCCAGCCCCTGTTTAAGACCTCCAATGGGGGAGAATCCACCACCTTCAGCTGTAGCCCACTCAGTATTGTCTGCAATGACCTTTCAGTGTTGCAGGCAAGGAGTCTAACCTAGCTCTTCCTGCTGAGGATTGAACCTAAGACCTTCTGCATGCAAAGCAGCTCTTCCACTGAGCTGCGACCCTTCTTCCTACCTTCTTCCGGTGCTTACCATTAATTATGTTATGCACGGATGGTTTCAAACGAATCAACAGCAACTGTGTCCAGCTGCACGGACAGGGGAATGCAAATCTCTTTCCCCAGAAGCTCACACAGCACAGAAACGCAGCAACCTGCCTTGCAAATCCAAACCTGTCATTCCCCATAAATCAGTAGCCGGGTGAAATTGCCTACCCTATTCTGCCTTTGGTACTGATGAAAGGGAGCAAGCTCTCCGCATTCCCTTTCCTGGAGGCACATATGACTGCCCCCTTTTAAAACAAACAAACAAAAACTTTACAACAGACCCAGCAATACGAAGTTATGCTTAGCTCCTCCTGGAGCCAAAGAACGAGGCAGATATGTGTCAATTGCCATCAGTCTGTATGGCTTTAAAATAAATTCATGGAGAGTAAGGCTGACAAAGCTACTAAAAGGTAAAGGGACCCCTGACCATTAGGTCCAGTCATGGCCGACTCTGGGGTTGCGGCGCTCATCTCGCTTTATTGGCTGAGGGAGCCGGCGTACAGCTTCCAGGTCATGTGGCCAGCATGACTAAGCCACTTCTGGCGAACCAGAGCAGCGCACGGAAATGCCGTTTACCTTCCCACTGGAGTGGTACCTATTTATCTACTTGCACTTTGACGTGCTTTTGAACTGCTAGGTTGGCAGGAGCTGGGACTGAGCATCGGGAGCTCACCCAGTCACGGGGATTTGAACCGCCGACCTTCTGATCGGCAAGCCCTAGGCTCTGTGGTTTAACCCACAACACCACCTGCGTCCCTGACAAAGCTACTAGCTGGAGGCAATAACACTTCTGAATTCCAGTAGCCGAGAATCACAGGTGAGGAGAGGGCCATTGCACTCAGGTCTTGCTTGTTACAGGCATCTGATTGGCCACTATGAGAAAAGGATTCTGGGCGAGATGGGCCATTGGCCTGATCCAAAAGGGCTCTTCATATGATCTCATGCAGGCATAGGCAAATTCCGGCCCTCCAGAAGTTTGGGACTACAATTCCCATCATCCCTCACCACTGGTGCTGTTAGCAAGGATGATGGGAATTGTAGTCCCAAACATCTGGAGGGCCGGAGTTTGCCTATGCCTGATCTCATGCTTCTGGTGTTTGGTATTAGAAGCTTATTGACACAGCTCTTTTATTCAAAGAAGTGAGTTTGCTCATGCCTCCCTGGAATCGGAACTCAGAACTTGTCTTCAGGACCAAAGCTCACCCTTGAAATATGAAAAAGAGGTGCACTCTCCAAATGTCCAGAAGCCCAAATGTCCTTTAACACTGGGTTGTAAAGCAAGGTTGGAAAACCTGTGCCCCTGCCCCAAATGTGGTTGGACTCCAACTCCCATCAGCTCTAGCCAGCATGGCCAATGGGTAGGGATGATGGGAATTGTAGTCCAGCAAACGCCTGGAGGGCTACAGGCTCTCCATCCCTGTTCTCATTTGGGATTGCTTCCAGGACAGTTGTCACAACTTTCGAGTAGCCCAGATCCAGGTTTTGATTGGCACATAGCAATGTGCTTCCTAGTGGGCTCACTCCAACACTTGTGGGCTCCCAGCCATGGGATTCCTTTCTCTTTTTTTAAAAAAAAATCATTTTATTTCAAAATTCAAAATTACACTGTATCACTCAACAGTTGTAACCCTATTCCACAATACTAATGACTTCCCACTAACCCACCCTCGGTGTTTAGAATCACAATTACATACAATTGCGTTTTTAAAATTCCAGTTTAAACAGATTTCTTACTAGGTTCTGCTATTTTCCCCTTAGACTTCAAACCCTGCTGTGGATTACACATTTGAAAAGTTACTTTTTAAGTAGACTAGCAAAGGTTTCGAGTCTTCCTTGAATGAGTCTAAACTTGTGACTCTTATCAGCACTGTCAGTCTTGCCATCTCTGCATATTCCATGATTTTCACCAGCCATCACTCGGGGGTAATTAATAAAGTGGCACACAGTGGAGGTGTTCCTTTCAATATCTTCCCTAGAGGAAAAGTGGGGAGCATATGGCTCTCCAGATGTTGATGGACTACAATCTACATCATCACTGACTATTGGCTGTAATGATTAGGGATGACGAGAGTTGGAGTCCAATAACATCCAAAGGCCACAAATTCCCCACATATTTCCTAGAGTAATGCCACACAAGGGCCATTAGGGAAAATTTAAATGGCTACCAGTCAGGTGCAGGCACCTGTGCTGTTCTGTTTTCTGTAGTGGCACCCATGTGTTTGTTACCCACAATGCACTGGAACGTGTCTTGCTGCAGCCTATGGCTTCAGAGTTCTCTTCATCCAACATACGGAAAAGTTAAGATTAGAGGAGGGCTGCCGCAGTTGCATCCTTGACCTTGCTTTTTTCAAAACACTATTGAGATTGTTATCTTGAAGAGCATTTAGTCTTAATGTATTCAATTGTACATGAAGAGGGATAATTTTAATAGCATTCATAATTTTTCGGGGCACTCAAGGCAGAATGATGACTCTAATCAAATGCCATTCTCCTAAGGGTACACAATCATTCGGATCAAGAAGAAGATGATCCCATTCAGTAAATTGGGTGCTCGGGATAATAATTGTGTTACAGAACTTTTAGACCAGCTTGTTTACATGTAAATCTAGGCCGAGGGTTTTGGGCAGTCTACTTAAAATTCTCTTTCTCTTTGAAATCTTGTTTGGTCCAACATTGTATCTTCCCATTACGAAACAAGAGCACAAACCCACCATCTAGTAACAGTTAAAACATAACTGCATTAGGTAATCTTAATATGCATTCTTTGTCAAGAACACAAAGATGCTGGGAGAGACCATGGACCAGAAACTCAAGAAGTTCACTTTTTGTTGCCTTTTGTGCTTCGCCAGCGACTTCTTCTGCAGCTATCGGAAATCACCTCTGTTGTTGTTGTTTAGTCGTTTAGTCATGTCCGACTCTTCATGACCCCATGGCCCAGAGCACGCCAGGCACTCCTGTCTTCCACTGCCTCCCGCAGTTTGGTCAAACTCATGCTGGTAGCTTCAAGAACACTGTCTAACCATCTCGTCCTCTGTCGTCCTCTTCTCCTTGTGCCCTCAATCTTTCTCAACATCAGGGTCTTTTCCAGGGAGTCTTCTCTTCTCATGAGGTGGCCAAAGTATTGGAGCCTCAGCTTCACGATCTGTCCTTCCAGTGAGCACTCAGGGCTGATTTCCTTCAGAATGGAGAGGTTTGATCTTCTTGCAGTCCATGGGACTCTCAAGAGTCTCCTCCAGCACCATAATTCAAAATCATCAATTCTTTGGCGATCAGCCTTCTTTATAGTCCAACTTTCACTTCCATACATCACTACTGGGAAAACCATAGCTTTTAGACAGGTCATAGTGGAGAGTTTTGACCAAACGTGATCCACCTGGAGGAGGAACCGGCAAGCCACTCCAGTATCCCTG